CACATAAGCAAAGTTGTATTGGAGTGTGTGATGTTACTCCTAAGTTCCTCCCCATTGTGACCAGCCTCATTCAACTGAGTCTTCAATTTAGATTAATTGGGTCGTTGACCTGGGCTTCGTGGTGGGATCTCTCGATAAATGGGTCCCTTGATAAGTGTCTGGGTGGTGTGTGCCTTTGTTGACAAAAAGAAAGTACCGCCTATGACATGTTTAGCATCAACTAGTAAGTTTGCACGTGCAACGCACGTCTTAATCGTTGGAAACTGAAATCACATAAGTATAAAATAAAATAAAAGGAGTTTTAAAATATATGAATTAAATGGATGCACAATGTCTTGAGTTCACTGAAGTTGTTTCTTAGAAGAGAGACTACATCTGATGATGTTGTTGCATGGAGACAATAATATATTGTTTAATACCCAGTGCTTAATAAGTTGTAAAAGATAAAAAAATCGAGTTGCGATTGGAGAGTAGCCTTGCACTGTGTTTAGTACATGGAGATGTAATCTTTTGGTCTTAATATCATGGTGTGAGCAATTGATACCTAATCTTAGAAAAAGATATTAATATCATGGTGTAAGCAATTGATAACTAAAATATGAGAAAAGTTCAAGAGATAAAAGTTTGATCCATCGATATGAGATTACTAACCAAATGTTTATATAAATCTGGAAATGGCATGAAATTTCCAGGACTTGATTACATGTTGCGAATACTCAGAACTCAGCTTGATGACTACTAAAATGAAAAAGATATATCCTAGATAAAAATATCAATGGCATTGAACCAGTGTTCTGAAGTAAAATCTTAACACCAACAGATTTTAGGGAGTTCCTTTTTTTTACAGTCAAAGGAGCTCACCTATATCGCTCAAGATTACTCAGTTTGAAAAAAAAGGCAAGATCGTCCGGAGCGGCATTACGCACAGCCTCGGGTCAGTAACTTGCAAGGGCAGCTTTGCAGAGAGTGGTGCATAGAAATTAGCCTCTCTGCAAATAAAAGACAGTACTGAACAAAAATCTGGGCCCAGCTCCTCAATTTCACACAGGAGGCCCATAATCTCTTATCTGTTTTGTTTTCTTGAGTTCCACATCTCTACCCGTGCTTGACAATCAGATTTGAAGGCAACATCGGGCCATTTTTCCCCCTTTGCAAGCTGTACCCCATCTTCGAGAGCAAGTATTTCAGCAAACACAGAGAGTAGAATACTCATACCTCTAAGCAGCGGCTAGCATGAACTTACCTCCAGTATATCTTGCAATTACTCCCGTGGTCACACGAGCATTAGCACCTCAGAACGCCACATCAACATTAACTTCGATAATCTGGATGTCTCCAACTCACATCTCAGCTTGCTAGGATAGGGATAATCTTCATATGGAGAGAGCAGAGAGCAGGTTTCCTGAACCACATCAGGAACCCATTTTGTCAGATTTTAAGGGGCTTCATATAATTTTTTGCCTGCTGCTAGGAATTTATTTGTATGTACTGCTGCAGGTGAGATGCTGAGAATAATAATGGATGTTCTACTAAAAAGGTACAGGTTTTGTGCGTTCCAGCAACAGTGTTAGTTCTTGAAAAAAAATGTAATAAGTCGAGGGTTACATTCCTTTGTTTTGATTATCTCTGTCCTCTTTTCTCGTTTCCAAACGAAAGTGGATCTCTCATCTCTGAAAAATGGAAAAGTAGGTCTCATTCTCATTTTTAGATGCAATTTTGTACAGTGGTCGTAACAAGCAATATGCAGTAACAAGCAAAAAAAACAGAGTTTGCTCAACTTGGCAATTCAATGTGCAGGGAGGGGCGTGTTGTGTAGCATTAAAACCATTTATCTTGTGAATGTCACCTAGGAAGTTTTCTTCCAATAACGACACACTGGTCAAGATATACAACAACTCCGTAATGAACATCATTGATGTATATCCCTAGTTAAGTCCTGTTTTGGCAATCAACCTATCTATCAAAATTTGTTAACTGTATCAACATAAGCTCTGCAAATGTGACTAAATCGGTAAAGTATTTATTTCTATAGTGGACAACAAATGAAATTGTTCAAGAGTTAAATAGCATGGCCACCCTTATTAGAATAACCTAGTTTCCTTCACGCAATACATGTAGTGGTAAACATATTGTGCACTGTTCTGTATGCAAATTAAAATAAAAAGGAAAACTCTTTTTTTATCTTGTTGAAAATCTTCACCTTCCTTTAGAAATACATCCTCTGTTTTAGAAAATCTGGGCGTAGAAGTTTTTTTTCTTGAACTTATAGTTAACTCAATAAAGAATGGTGTTTGAATTAGATCTTGGAGTTCTTTTGGCAGATATTTCAAAACCTTACAGATAGCTTAATCTTTTTTGTTAGCTTCTATTTCAGACACAGTGCAGGTTGTTGGACGTTGGGTGCACATATACCTTAGTGAAAGATAAATAGAGAGAGGGGGGAATGCACATATACCTGGCGGATAAGGCGGGGACTTAGGTTATTGTGCGTGTTGTTGTATGGGTGTTACGGAGGATGGCGACGGCGTTAACAGGGTTGGCGGCAAAACTATGCAAGAAAATAAAAGATATATTAGATTCAAAGAGAAGGTGCA